ACGGCAGACCGGAGAACACATCCAAATCTGGACTTTCCTGCGCGATTTTAATATCATAAAGGCGAAAGAAATCAGATGTTTGCGGGAGCAGGTGGACGACAATACAACCATCTCTCCTTATTTTTTGCTTGTTTTGTTAGGGGCATTTTCCCATCAAAAACTGGTAGATATTTCGTTTTTGGCTGGAAACGTGACCAGTCTTTGTGCAGTGGGTCTTCCTATAATCTCTCAAGAGTTTTAATTGGTTTCGATGGCCTAAACACTTCGCAGAAAATGAACCTGACACCGCGTACCTTTATTACGCTACCCAATGAGACTGGATGATGCGTCCATCCAGTTAATTGAGGTCAAGAGAGGTTTTACTGCATTTACAAGCTTACCCCTTAAGGTTAGGTTAATGAGTTTATTATTCGAAAGTTGAATCTGCGAGTAGTTGTGGATTTCAGATTCATCTCTGCCTTCCTGCACGAGTAATGTGGACCAGTGAATTCACACGCGAGGTACCAGTATCAAAATTTCTACCAGCTCAGTTTTTTAATGTAAATGTCTTCAAAGCAATTTTATCCATTCAAAGATTTTTCAATCTTACCGAACACAGAGAAGTTATCGTAGAAATCATTTGCTCATGAGGCATGCAGGAATGGAGATTTGAATTTGATACTGGTTGCAGCAACGACTAACGGATTCATTTTTCAAAGAATCGATTCATTTATGATATCTATGGGGGTACGCTTGACCTGGCTTGACTGTAACTTGAGAATGGCCTCGAAATAGCCTGAGAAAACAGCCGACATTTGGTGACGCTACCACTGGTTTCCCCGCCAAATAACATCTCAGAAACGAGCGCAGAAATTCCATACTGATGACGTGTCACTACCCAGATCTGGGTAGTAACGCGTCATCAGTATGGAATTTCTGCGCTCGTTTCTCAGACGTCATTTGGCGGGGAAACCAGTGGTAGCGTCGCCAAATGTCGGCTGTTTTCTCAGGCTTGCCTTGAAACAGCCAAAAAGTCACTAGTTTTATGATTTCACTTATAGCACAGTAGAACCTCGATTTAACGAAGTGCCAAGGGACTGGGGAAATTTGTTCGTTATATCGAGGGTTCGTTTTATATCGAACACCTCCATTTAACGAATTTTATGGAAAACTACGAAAATGTTCGCCATATCGAGGTATAGTTAATAATTTAATTTACAAAACCCAGCATTTCCGGATCTGAAAAATTACTGTAATAACATTTCAGTACCGAGTTATACATAGCTACGGCACTAGAAACTCAAGAACAGGCAAATAGAACTCCTTAAAACTACTGTACACATAAATTTTATCCTTTTTGTTCTGTTTGGCTTTCATCTTTTATCACACGCTGACATTTATTCGTTACACCGAGGTATATTCTGCATTTGGGCTTCTCCAATTGTGTTCGTTATAACGAGGATTTCGTTAAAAGGTTCTGTTCCCTACACTTTACTCAGTGTAATTTTGGCCGAGCTGAACAAAATCCTTCGTTATACCGAGGACTTCGTTATTATAGAGGTTCGTTTAATCGAGGTTCCACTGTAAAATCCTTTACTGGAAACGTCACATTTTCTCTTAAACAAAATCTTTTATCTCACCCGCTGCTGATTTTCCTCTGATGTTGGTAATGACGTTTCATCTGCAGATTCGGCGATTCCTTCCTCTTCCTGCCACAAACCACACAGTCAAACTATTTACCATCCATTTCGTATAATTTTTTAAAATCCTTTTAACATTATAGTGGTGAAATGCTTCAAAGAATAGATCTTTTTTTATTTCTCCAAAATATGATGTCTCAACTGTTCTTGAGGGTCGACGGATCCAGCAGACGATCCTACATCTTCAAGTTTGAGGTTCCCTTTCTCGTCCCGCCTCAAAATAAATCATGAAACGACATTCAACGGCACAAAACTTCGAAATCAAATTTCAAGATAGGGGTTGAGGCCTAATTATCTATCTTTTACAACAATTTTCCACGAAGGCTTTCCCTCGCAAGTCATGTCACAAATCAGAAAACGACACCTCGCATTTAGTTTTTAAAAAACACGTCAGAAAGTCATCAACATCAATTAACAAACGGAGATGCCGTAAAGCCTCGCGCAAGTAGAAGCCCAATTAACAAATTCTATTTTCAGCGAGGATCTATCTTAAACGCTGCTGGTTTAAAAACAATGTCGTAGGAAAGCTTTACCTCATCAGTGGACAAGACTTGGGACTCGGCAGTCTGGTTTCCTATCTCCTACAAAGTGAAAAAACGAAAGGTTCATCATCTTTGTACCGCTATTAAAGAGCATGCAACGTCACGATAGTTTGGAATTATTTTAAAACCCTAAACACCCATTTCCCTGCTAACAGAGGGCTCTTTTCCTCTCGCCTGCTGAATACCAGGGAAAAGAGACCTCTGCTGGCAGGGAAAACACACATTGGAAGGAAAGAAAACCCTGAAATAATGCTTCAGTTCTATTTAAAACGACTTTACGTACTGTCTGTGTCTTTGGCTTTCAATGCCGGCCAGGATGGAAATGCATTGCAACCTGAAAACAGGGCCAACTTTTTCAAGTTTAACTCCTGTGTGCCGTCACGTCGTTAAAATTTACATGAACAATCATTTTTACGTTTCGTGATTTCCGCCTGCCGTTTTCAGACATTTTAGAGATGGTATCTGCCGTGTTTAGTTAAACACGGTTTAAAAGTCTGTGTTCTAGTTCACTCTTGCTGTTTTTCATTCAGTTTCAAAATCTAGTTTAATTAAACATGTTTAGTTGGTGTGAATGAAGAATAAGCAATGGACAACGCCCCTTCCTTTTTACAACCTCCTCCTCCTGATAATTATTGCACAGTCCCTCAAACAAAACGTTTATAAAAAATATCAGCAACCAACCTGTTCTTGATCATCCTCTGATTCAAACGATAGGAAAAGATAGAGACAGAACTTACATTTTTGTAAGCAATCTAATCACATTTTTCTACAGTGGATATCAGGAATTAGGTAAGAAAAAAAATCCTCTGGCACCCAGGGTAACATTATTCATGAATTTGAAGGAACGCAATCGAGAGTTTCTATTAACAGGTCCGATGGTGTGAATTTTAAGAAATACAGAATACCAGATCGGACAGAGCGGTTAAAATCGAGCCTAGAACTACACTTTACTAATTCCCGGCTATACGGGGCTTTTAACAAACTACTTGGCCCGGGGAGCGGGGAAATTAGCGGTGTTTTAACACCAAACCAAGGTTAAATTCCCCGCTAAGTCCAGGAGGTCGGGGGCCGGAGTTTCAAATTACTGATGCATAAACTTAAACAAACGAAGCTGGTGACTAACCAGTTCCTGTTCAATCTCTTTTTTAGACGATGAAAAAGCTTATTAATTGAAGTGTAACCCACAGATAAGAAACTGCTTGATCTCGTTTGGCCAAACTGGTTCTTATATTGTTGGGTATTAATTCCAGCAGGTTATTAAGCCACTAACTTCCAGTTACACGCGGGTTTTTACTGTATTAAAAACTAACTCAGTATCACCAACTCGGAAATCCTCCGTAATGGAGACTTATAAATGAAGGCTCCTGAGCGTATTTTGATTATCTCTGACGGACAGAAAAATAGAACTGTTCACATAAACACTGAAAGTCTTACTAATAGTCAGTTAATAAATAAACTTTCACAAAAATAGGTGAGTGATGACTAACCTGCTCCTGCTCATGCGCTGATTCAGGTGATGAATCAGAAGAGAGGTCAGGGTAGCCAGTCTTCCTGTCGTCCTCCAATGGCCATTCATGTTCAGGTTTGGGGTTTCCGTCATAATCCTTCAACAAAATACAAAACAATATTTATAACCAGCCATCTCCCTTTAATAAAGTGTGGACGTGTACACATTTCACAACCTTCATTTTAAGTCCCATGCGATTACACTGACCAACGAAAGACAATTGTTTATATGAAAACAACTTTGACAAGAGGTACCTAGTTCAAAACAAGCCTTGCGTGCCGAATACAAAGATCAACAGTCAAAACTTGACCTTTATAATAAAAGGCAGTTTCTCACTGCATGTGGCTGCTTTTTTAGTTTTGTAGAATATATTGCAATAAAAAAGGAGTGAAAATTGTAGGAAACGATAGAAATTCACATTGTTTATACATAAATATACTATCTTTGCTCTAGAAGGTATATATTTAACAAACAACAACAACGAAACAAATAAGCAAACAAAACAAAAACGAAAACGAAACAAAAAAGAGAAAGACCGAAGGAAAAAAGAAAGGGTACTGAGCAGGATTCGAACCCGGCACCTTGTCAAAAATTATACGAGCAAAAGGTTAATGTTTTAAAAACAACTGACAAACTATGTTTAAGCGTCTTTACAGTTATTTGCTGAGAGAAATTTTTCCTAGCGAAGATGTTGACTTCTCTTGCGTGATGATAAGGGATGTGGGGGAGAACCCTCTCTCTCCGGCGTGGCGTGACATAGAGAAAGAGAGAGGGGCCAGAACTGCACTAGACACACCGTGGTTACGCCTTCTTTGTGTGGTAGGTTGGTGTAGAGGCGAAGCGCTGAAGGTAAAAAAAACTTCCTTTACGACTAACTTTAAGAAACGAGTGTTACCCGTCGCCAATTTTTAAACCAAGTTTAGGAAGGAGGGAGAATTACCCCCGCTGTACCCCTCCCCTCTCGGCGGGATTGAAAAGAGAAACATTATCATTATCAAGGCGCACGTACAAGAAATTCGCATTCAAAATAGTAGAATCAAAACCAAAATTAGCACTTCCTTTTTCTTTTCTTTTGAAAATATATTCAGAAATACAAAATTCGCAGATCACAGTGTATTTTTTTGCGGGCGGGAATTTGTTACGTAATAAAACGAAAGGCGGGAAAACGTCATCACGTGAAAAATCATTCGAGGTAGATTTAACCAATCAGCTGCCGCCACGTCACTAGGCTTTGAATGACATCGTTTGTTGTTTTTGTAGTTTGTTCAGTTCGCTCTTCAACGGCAAACTGTTCAGGATGAACTCAAAATTTAATAAGAAAACGTCAGGGAAATGTTACACAAGACAGGGATTCATCTCTTTTTACTCAGGAATATGCTAAGGAGTTGTTCGAAGCTCAAGGAAACATCATTTATTAGGATATTTCACGAAAGCCCAAAGCTCCGCAGGATTTGATTTGTATGGCGAGTGTTCTTGGAAAATTGAAAACAAGCTCATGCTATTTACGCGATGAAAATCATGCAATGGACACTTGTGTTATACTGTGGAGAACAGCGAGGTGTTTACCTGTAAGGAAAATTTTTTTGGAGTTTCTTTGAACCGTTGTCTCGAAGATGCAATTTTTTTGTGCGGGTTGTTATTTCAAAAACCAACGCTTCCCCGAACTGCAAGGACCAGTATTTACCAAAGAAACGCTCAAGAACTAACTAAAGAACAGCTATAAAATAAGACTTGTCTGTTTTCTGGACGTTCAAAAGAACTTCACTTGACTTAAACTGATTTTATAGGAGCCTTGGACGATAAATGTGAAACTGTGAGTTCAATGTGTTTACTCTTTGCTCATTTGTTTGAATTGAACATGAACTGAACATCTTTCATTTGCTTTTATGATTGTTGTTTGCTACTTTATGAAAAGGTATGAATTAAAATTGATTCAGAAATTAATACTGTGGAAATTATGTGCTTTTGTTTTGCTGAAAGTTCTTGTTTTCATCCAATAATATCATCTTATGGCTGCTTGAAGATACGAAATTTCTCTTCTTGTGTTCAACTCCATGTTTTAATATCAGCTGAAGTTACTTGTTCTTAACGTTCTCAGTTAAAACATTTTATGGAGTTAGTTTAATCAGTTGAAAGAAATGAATTTGAAATGATACTTTGAATCTGCTAAAGTTTGCGATTTGATTTCAAAAGCAAATCTCGTGTTTTGTCGAGTATAAAAATGACAAAGAAAGGAAAATGGCGAAAGGCAAGAGCTGAGTAGAAATAAACTGTAAACAAATTAAGAATAAAGAAACAAATTGCGATAAAATTGGAAAACTTACGTGGTATTCTGACCCCAGTTTAGTGATGTTTCCGTGCTGCTGTACAGCTGATGTGAGATCCATCACCTGCTGTGGAGTCATCTTCACATCTGTAAGGTTCAGTGTCTCCAGGTGAGGAGCGCAGCTGAGATGTTTTATCAAGCTGTCGACTCCTTCACCCAGAAGAGGATTGTATGACATGCTGAGCAACTCCAAGTTTGGAAGATCTTCTTTGAATATTCTGCTGATGAACTCCACAGCAGGTGATGATGTTACATTGATATCACAGAGTGATAATATCTCCAGTTTGTGTGTTGTTGGGATGCTCCTCAGTAGAGACTCTGTTATCTCAGCATCAAACACTTCACCGTCTTTACCCCAAACCCATATCTCGTGTGGAGCGGTGATAAACGGCATCATCTCAATCAGCTGTTCCACTTCTGACCTGTTCACATCCTCAGCATCAATCATCCGAACCCTGGAGAGACCATGACGCTTTGAACAACAACTGCTGCTGCTCTCTTCACTTGACTCATCACCATTCATGTTTGTCTTCTTTGTTGTCTCTTCTAAACTAACTAACGTCTTTACCATTTTAAAAGGAAGAGGAATGCCATCATCTTCATTTTTTACAATTTTAGTAAAATAAAGGTGAGTGTTGTTATCTTCTTTCATTAAAAAAAATTCGTCAACACTACGCCATGGAAATACACTCAAAAATTCTGATGCTTTCTGTTCTCCTGTTCTACTAACTATAACAGCGTTTAATTGCTGTACTAAAGTTAATAAATGATTATAACTTTGCTCTCTATACTGCTCGCTATAAGAGAAAAATATGTACATAAGTGAAGCGGTAGTTTTAACAAAATTTTCCTTCGCTGCAATATTCAGCTGGTCAGGATTTAAAATGAACAAAACACCTCCTAGATTAGAAAGAAAAGTGGGGAAAAGTTCTGTTCTCGTGTCTGCTGAGCAGCAGAAGAATAACTGTGTACATAGAAATAAAAGATTTTCTTGTTCATCAGACAAATCTTCGACTGACGGTGTTTCTTTGTCGAAGTTGTACTCTCCTTCTTCCTTCGCCGCCATTTCCAACAGATGAATCAAGATCTCGTGCGCGGCTTCTTCTGACATTTCAGCAACAAATTTAAAAACTTCATTCAATTTGAAGATCTTTTCAATTGAGTCGACTTTGAAAAGAGAAGTGTTTTTACTTTCTTGAGATAACAGTTCTTCTTTTAGAAATAAAGAAGCCACAAACTCCTGCATGGATTTGTGAATGAAGTGAACGTCTTTGCTGGGGTTAAGAGCGGACACGTTTAGCAGCTGAAACAACCCGGCCTCGATCAATTTGTCAGTCAAAATGTAATCCGGCAGTTTACTGACAGGAAAGTAAAGTAAACCTTGTAGAAGTGCGTCAAATGCTAGTTCTCCTACTTTACAGAGTTCTTGAATGTGGTTCTCAACTTCTTCCGCCTCTGTTTTTTGTTTTTCAGACATATGATTAAACATAGTCTGTAGAAACTTGAAGTACACCATCACCCGTGATGAAGGTAGTCCTTCACGATCCTTTTCTTTCCAAACCAACAACAACATTAAAAGCAAAATAGGTATTTTTGCTACATCTTCCAGGTCTTTTTGCTCCAAGTATTCAAAAAACTCTTCAATATCTTCATCATCTTTCAAGAATCTACGGGCAAACTCTTCTTGTCGCTCACGGTCAAAACCGTCGATCTCAAATTGAGCATCGCTGGAACTTTTTAATCCCTCTCCTTTCATGTCTCTAGACGTTATAATAACACAACAATTTCTCAACTGCGTTTTCTCCCAGATTTGAAGAACAGGTGATTGGCTTGCTGCGCTGTGTACATATTCATCGTAGCCGTCCAAAATAAGCAACACTTTTTCTTGGTGGTGACGAACGTAATCGTACAGGTTGTCAGTGGAAATTGGGCCATCACTCGCAAGAAGATTAGCATCCCTCAGAATGGCTGGGACATCGTTGAGGTTACAAACATCGCGTAATTTGACCAAAAGTACGAGATCAAATCTTCCTAACTTTCCTTCAAATCTGTGCTGGGACCAGTCGAATGTAGCTTTCTGCGTAAAAACGGTCTTGCCGATACCTGGTCGTCCGTGAACCAAAATACGCTTAGGCAAACGATGAAGTCTTCCGCCGTCAAAAATGTCGGTGTAGTGTTCAAGCTCCTTCTGTGTTACTCCGCTGGGATCCTTCAAATCCATAAGCCAAGACAACTGGGTGTAAACTTTGTCAATGTGAACGGCAGAGCTTTGGTCCCACGGAACGATTTTGACTGTGCTGTTGTCTTCATAAATTGATCGCAGCTGTTTCTGGAACTCCTCGAGCCAGAGAGAATCTGTTAAAGAAAATTTTACGTTCCTTTTTTTTTAAAGAATTGTTCATTAACGACTTGATATCTTAATAGGCGAGGAAAGTTAAAGGAAGGTAGTTGATGCACAAAAATATAGGCCCTCATTTATATAAACTGATCAGATCACCAAATATCAATAAAATTTCCATATTTAAAAACAAATTATCCTCAACTCATTATACACCAACAGAAATGCAAGTAACAGTGTATGTATATATCAGGGCTCTAAAACACCAGAATATAGTGTAGCAATATAAACACTATGGTCAAACGTAGAAGGAACGCACTTTATTAATTTAATTTATTAATTTATTTTAATTTATTAATTCATTTATCTATTCTATTTTCTTCTTTTTCACCTGCTTACACACTGACTTTAATTGGACGGGGAGCTAACTAGAAAATCTAACAGCTTATTTTGCTTCCCAGCTCGCACTTATTATTTCTCTTATATTATAAAGTTATAACCTAGCACAAATTTCAGTTATAAAAAAGTTAAAAATGTAATTTCACCGTGAGCTAGATAAAGAATCGTTAATTACTACAATTACAAATTATGAATATAGCAGGATGGGCAGCCTTGGCCGAGTAACATTTATATGTAAATGTTGTTGAAGACTGCATCAGTAAAGCAAGTGTAAAGGGGCGTTACCCCACAAAGAGAGGTTCAGGGAGGAGACACCAATAGAGGGCTACCTCTCCAAAACCGTTAGTGACGTTTGTAGTTGAGTGCTAAAAATAATTTTTATTTTTTATAACTGGCCTCGAGGATTAACGCAGGTTAAAAACATTTTAGCAAAATTCTAACAGAAAAATTGAATGAGAAAAAGAATTTGATGCTTGAAGTATCACATCATACTTCTTCTTTGCTACTTATTTCTGAAATAAATATAAACAACTGTGACAATAAAGATCATTTTGTATTGCAATCTAACAAACGATAAAAGTCATTTTCATATTAAAGTAAGCGTTTCTAATCTACTGTATGTCTGGTACCATTTCTGATTTATTGGATATAATAGTACCTGGTAACTCCTCCTTAGTGGCCATAGAGCTAGAGGGCTGTTTCCCTGCTGACAGGTCTGTGAGTTAAACGAAAGAGAATAAAAATTGAAGTGAGACATTTAAAACAACAGTTATTCAAAAGTAGTTGGGGATGTTCATCAATCTGTCAGTTTTTTTACTACTCAAATTTTAGTTTCTGGGTTTGAATAATAAAGTTTCAATAACAAAAAGCACTGAGCAGCTTGTCTTGGGACTGAAAGCTTACATCAACTTAGCTTTTACTCAATTAACTTACTTAAGTGGGTGATACTGACATTTTAATTCACTAAATAATGTCTGGTCGCAATTTATGTTTTAAACTTACTAGTTATGCAGGATTTCTGCTGCATACTGAGTTGATTCTGAAAGGCATCTGGTAAGCAGTTGCAGTTCAAGTAGCAGGCCCTTAGTGACGGCCCTGTAAAGTTGGTTGCTAGTGTCATCAGGGCTTGGTGGAGGGATGGGGGGGGAGAAAAACTACCCTATTAAACAACTGAGGTGCTAGTCAAATAAAAAATTCCAACGTATCCCTAAAAGGTACCAGAATTTTGCTTTGTCAGCATGGAAGAAATTCATTTTAAGCTCTATAAGAGGTACCAAAAGGAGGAGGAGATACTTCCCTGCTGTGAACCTTGAAGAATTAATAGATAGAAGACAAAGTTAGGGGGCTGTTGTGATTCTCACATACATTATTAGTAATCTCTTATTCACCTGTAACAAAACTTGTGCTTGGGCCAGCTCGCTCAATCCTTCCAGATATGGATGGACCTTGAAATACAACAACAAATAATATTATTAGTCATTTCACCACAAGTGTCTTGTTCACAACTTATGTTGTTCAATGAATTGTTTTTTTGGAAGCAATGACATAGATCAAATGCTTTTTGGCTCACTGTAGGAGATTCGAGGAAGTAAACAGTGCATGTAGATATCAGGGCTCTAAAACACCAAAATAGAGTGTAGGAATATAAATACTATGATCAAACGTAGAAGGAATGCTCTTTATTAATTCAATTTATTAATTCATTTATCTATTCTATTTTCATCTTTTTCACCTGCTTACAAACTGACTTTAATTTGATGGGGAGCTAACTAGAAAATCTAACAGTTTATTTAGCTTCCCAGCTCGCACGTATTATTTCTGTTATATTATAAAGTTATCACCTAGCACAAATTTCAGTTATAAAAAAGTTAAAAATGTAATTTCACAGTGAGCTAAATAAAGAATCATTAATTATTGCAATTACAAATTATGAATATGGCGGGATGGGCAACCTTGTCCGAGTAACATTTACACGTAAATATCTTTGAAGACTGCATCAGTAAAGCAAGTGTAAAGGGGGCGTTACCCCACAAAGAGAGGTTCAGGGAGGAGACACCAATAGAGGGTCGAGTGCTAAAAATAATTCTTATTTTTTATAACTGGCCTCGAGGAAGGTGGGGGAGAAGGAGATACTACCCTTTTAAACAACTGAGGTGCTACTCAAATAAAAAATTCAAAAAGTATCCCTAGAAGGTACAAGAATCTTGCTTTGTGGGCATGGAAGAAATTCATTTTAAGCTCTACCAAAGGTACCAAAAGGAGGAGATACTCCCCTTTAAAAATAACAGAACTGCCTTACAAAAAAAAAATTAAAGATAACAGGGGTGCTTGTCAAAAAAAAAAAATAATAATAATAAAAATCATCCCTAGAGGGTAGCAGCATCTCACTTTGTGGGCATGGCAGAAATTCACTTTAACCCCTGGGAGATACCAAAAGGAGGAGATACCCCTCTATAGATATAAATGGGGTGCTTAAAAAACAACAACAACAGAAACAAACAAACAAACACACAAAACAAAACAAAACAAAAACAGGGGTTTTGTTAAAAAAAAATATCCAAAAGAACCCGTAGAAAGTAACAGAATCTAGCTTTGTGGGCATGTAGGACATTAATTTTAATGCCTAAGAGCATCTACTAACTATGCTAAGAGGTACCAAAAATTACTTGAGAAACAAAATAATTCCCACCCAACCTTACAGGCCCCTAACAGATACCACTGAAGCTCTTAACAAGTGTCATTTTAGACTTTAGGTCCCTAAGTATGCACTTGCCGAGTACCAACCAACAAATCTTACTGCCTAAAATAGTATGATAAGCAGCTGGTCAATTTTATCAGGAAACATCTCCCTCCTGTCCTCCTGACCAATTTCTTCACCTTTTTCTCATAATTTTTCTTTTCCAAATGTTATAGTTTCCAACAGTTGTGAGTTGACAAAGAAAACGATGAAATCCATTCTTTTTCAAGTTTATTAGAAGAGATTAATTTACAAGGTTTGAAAGTGAGCATTTTAAATCAACCTTATTACTTGACCAAAAACACAAACTTAATTCGTCTGCACAAAAGGTAAGGATTTAATTATCATAATTATGGTTTAAAAAGGAGCATGTCACCTACCTTCATAATGAGGCCATTGCTGAAACACAAAAGAATCCTTCAACATGTTGGACACAAGAGAAGCTGCCATTATGCATGCATGACTCTCCCAAGACTTTTCTGCAGGGTTGTTACCATCGGCAAAGTGGGAAATACCTTTTACAATCACCCATTCAATCTTAAGATCATGTGCTGCAGCAAACAGGCCTGGAAAAAACAACAAAAAATGATTAAAAATTAAATTTCAATACAAAGAGAGATCAATTTATGCAAATGTGACGACATAAACAGAATTATTTACCATGCAAATAGCTAGGAAGAAAATGATAATAGTGATTTTAAAAGGCAGATATAAACAGCATAAATAAAATAATACAAAACAGGACAAATAAATAGGATCTTGGTAGAATTTAACTTTCCTTCTGTATTTTATCCAAAGGAAAACATTACTTAAAATGCTGTCCTCCAATCAATCATTTATGCATACTTTAGTATAGAAAAATGCGGCAAATTAAATAAACATCAGCTATTTTGAGAAAGATTGTCGCAAAAAGTGCACACAACAATCCCGAAAGGTATTGTGGGTGGCTTTGAGTTCACTGTACATGTTCTTCAAAGAAATTTGAAAGAATGGCACGAGAGGCCATGGACATAACGTGTTTGCGAGTGCTAAAGGAAAGCAACAAAAGTAGGTTCAACAGCTACTGTTGTCAGGAACAGGGTATAACTCGATCATATCCCGTGCTACCTTTCAGGACTGTCACGTGCACATTTCCTCCGACAACCCCTCTTGAAATACATGTAGCTGTAAACATCATTGTCCAAACCTAGAACTGATCTCAATGGATCAGACTGAAAACAGGATCACAAGAAATAATAACCAGCGCCTTTTTATACACCTTAATTGGTGAAGGTCAGGGACAAAGTGAAGCAAAGTTTGTTTTATAATAAGAAAAACAGCACAACAGCAAGACCCCAAACCTCGACCTCCAGATCTGAAGCAGGGGCGTAGCGTCCTTAACGCAAATGCAAACGTGTGTACTTGAGAAATTAAGAGACTTTTTTTGAAGATTTTCTGTTATAAGTAAAGGCATTTGTAGTGTTGTGACTTGACTTTAAATTGTGCAGATTTGTTGCTGCCTGTCTCGCTGTTATTCAGCATTGTTTTTGAACATAAACTACAACAGTTTGAGAAGAGGAATGTGATAAATTCTAAATATTCTTAAAATGTTTGCCTTCATGCGATCCCACAATACACTGCGTATTCATGAAAATTGGAAAAGAATTGACCCTGACTGATCATCATTCCATTTAAGATTTATCTGGAACGTTTTTGCATTCAAAAATTAGGTTTTCATTTTTTAGTTTCTCTTTCTCTCCATAAATGTTGAAAAAGTCTATCATCAAAGACTACTTTAATGTCCCTCAACTGGAAAACCATGGACCGTACACCATGTCGACGATAATCCACGTAAGCTGAATCAAACTATTAGGTACACATTTTCTGTTTGGTGCGGTATCAACAAAAATTTTGCAGGAAGTTCACTCCTATTGTAAAGAAGTCTGTAACCTGCCAATTATGTATTAAAGGAAAGCAAAAACGTTATTAATTTGTACGAAGTTTTTAAAACCATATAGACCTGGTGCGTATGTGAAGTTTGCAATATTCACCACTAGGCCACCATGCCTCTTGTAAGAAAACGAAACAAGAGAGAAAAGAAGTCATTTATCAGGGAATAAAATTTATTCCCTGATAAATGACTTCTTTTTCTTAATATCTTACCTTCACCACCGATTTCAAATGCAGTGGCTTGAGTAAAATAAGACATGTTTTGCTGTTTAGCACTGACTGGGTTTATGCCACTTAAAATCTCCCCATCACAGCAGACCTGAACTTTATGATCTTCTGGACATTTTAATGGAGGAATCCAGCCATAATCTGCATGCCTGACAAGGTGCAAGATATCTCTTCCCACTGGGGTTTTGAAGGCTTCAGTTAAAAGCTTAGAGGAAACAACCACGTCACCTAGCTGTAACTTGGTGACTTCTGGGTTCAACCCACCGCAGCAGCCAACAGAGAAAACAGCTTTGGGTCTCAGTTCCACTACGGCATTCTTAACAGTAACCAGCGAGCCATCTGGCACAGAAGAACCTTCAGAACATTTTATCAAAGCAACTTTTAGGGGCACATCTCTACTTTCACCCATCTTCCCAAAGTACACATATCCAAGGTTCTTGAGGTAGCTTTTAAAGGCATTTCTCAGGTATGCAAAACAGGCTAGGAACTCACAGTCATCCACTGTCAACAAAAGAATGTCAATTGGAAGATGGACTTCATTCCAAGGTTTTAATGTGTTAGGAAGATCACTTTTCTTGGGAAGTTCTAGGGTGAGTGAAGGTGGAACATCTGCCATATTCTTCAGAGCGTTATCTCCTTTTCCTATTAAGCTCTTGGTGCTGTGCCACGGTGTTGTGATTATCAATTTCCCTAAAATGTCAAAAAGTAAGATCACAAATTAAATTTAAGTTGCACAATAGGTTAGAAAGAAAAGATTCTAAATCACCACGTACACACGCTTTGGGAACTGAGAGCTTTATTTACAACAAAAACACTTAGATGTAAGTAAATAAACCTGAGAGAACTAATCAAAACAAATACTTAAAACTACAGTCAAATCACGGGACGGGATGGCATGGGATGGGAAAATTTGTATCTGCACTTTGCCTATAATCTCGCTTCCATGATCTTCTTGCTTATGCTATAAAATGAGTGTATACCTGAGGAGCTTTGCTATTAAAACTAAATTTACAAAACCTTATGGCTATCTGATTAGTTACTTAAAATCTTCTGACTATCAGCTATAATTTATTGTTAGTAGTATTTTTACATCCTTAGTGTATTTCACCGATGGCTAGTTTAAGCCTGCCAGACCCCATGTATGCTACTTTGGGGGGTGGTCTAGATTTATATTAATACAAGTATCAGTATCCACATTGACCAAAATCTCTTCCTCTCACAGATATGTTTAATCATAGTTATTAGAGGAGACTGGTTATGAAAAGCGGCAAACATCAATGATAAAAACAACAGTGCTGCAGTTTATGTTGGAAGCACCCTGAAAGTGCACAATCCTTTGTTTTCTGTTGGCAAATTATTACGGAATAAATTAATGCAACGTTTTTATTGGTCAATACAATTAAAATGATAGGAATTCTTTTGAACGTTGTGCACTTTCAGGTCCACAAAAACATATAACAAAGGAGTCTGACGGGTTTCATAACCATTCCACTCAATTAACTATGGTTTAATTAACTCTCCTGTAACCATACACCCTTAGGACCAGAAAGTGCATTTGCTTAGGGAAGGCATCCACTTAGGGTCATTCCTCTGAAAATGAACAACACTAACTTCCCTCTATGTGAAATTCAATACAACAATAAATTGCATGATGACGTCATTTCACTGCAACTACCAGCATCCCTCAGTTTGTTGTTTTCTAGTGCAAATTAGGACTAATTATTTTTTAAAACTCAGCCGGATTTGAGAAGTTTAAATGAGAAAGAAAAAAAGAAATGAATTCTGGAAGTTGTAGTTAAATGTTGTCATCGTGAAAATGGCCCATTCCTACCAATCAATGCTTCTCGGACATTAAAGTGAAAACAACTTCTTAATGTGAGCATTTTAACTTCCTTATTGAAACTATCAGATTTTTGCTGTTAAACTTTTCTGTAAGGATAAATTAAGTTGGTATGTGGGACTTCAAACGTTCAGAAGAAACAAATCCCAGACTGAGCTACTGACATTCTGTCTGAACTTAATACAAAACAGAATCCACTGACTCAGATGCTACCCTAATTCATTACCTTCTAATTGCCCAATATTATTATATCTTTCAGCCAGAAACAAGTCGGACACTCCTATAATATGGAGGTTTTCATTGTCCTCCTTGGATCCAAAATTCGATGTGAAAGAGGAATAATGAAGTAAAATATGGAACACACTCCAAATACAGAAATAAGTGGACCTATGTAGTGCATTTCTGATATGCATTGTGACTATTTAAAGTAAATTCGACAAATGAGTGCTTCTTTGTTTTCTTTTATATACACCATGTGACATTTAGAATGCAGAAAATAAGGAAATTATAAACGCGAGTGCTCATGCTCATATTTGAGATACAGTGTACTCTGCTGATAACTCGAACCCTAGCTTAAATCTCGTGCTAACTTAAACCAAAATTGATTTCCCTTGGATTTTCTTCATATGTTTAATGTAATTTTGCCCTCAGCAACTTGAACCCTCGATAACTCGAACCTTCTACTAACTTAAACTAATTTTTTTACCCTTCAGGTCATTTCTATACAATACTACCCTGCCCTTCAATAACTTAAAACATGTTTTAAGGGCATGACCATTGGAAAAAAACACACTGAACTGCAGTCCAAAACATCAAATTTCTCTCAAAACAATCGTGTATTCTTTCTCTTTAAACTTCTTTAATTTTTGGTCGGTCCATTTCAAATACAATCTTTATAAGCGCTGTATTGATTAATCATGCTTTGTTGCTCAATTTCTATTTCAAAATATAAATCTTACCTTATTCTCACTTAATTTTGCGGGTACTAAATTTCATGAAAAATCATGAGCCATATTTCACGAGTATGTAATCGTATGATCTTTAAGGATTTATACGGATTTTTAGATTTAGCAAGTATTAAAAAATGAGTTCTAAATCACGGAAATTGCACTTTAATACTTGCAAAATTAGGTGAGAAAAAGGCACTATTGGAGCATACACTAGGCCGTCATGGTATAATGCATATGTGAGGATTTTTTGTGTCAGGCACATGTGACTGTCGTAATGTTGTTAATTGTTAAGGGTTGGTTGAAATAAGTGAAAATAGACGTTGCTCATTTCTTTCCTTGGAATTCCTGACGTAAATTGCAGCAGCGCTCTGAATAGCGAATGCACACGACTACAAGAAATGTTATGGACTGGTTTCAAGAGGCAAATGAACGTGCGAGTGAGCTCCCACTTTCTTCCCCCTACCTTGCTTCCCCCCACCATCATTCACCTTTTAAACCAGAAGTCAAGATATTGCAGCACACCAAGTAATTTTCCTCTCTTACTCGAGCCCTATATTAAACTGTTTTTCCATTTTAATCATTTTCAATTGAACTAGGTGATTATTTTAGTCCCCTTTCTTCCATTTCCCACACATGTACAGAACCCATCAGCTCACAATATTATAGCTAATTTTCACATGAAAAACCACATTAGGTTGCGGTGGCGCAATCAGCTAATCCATAAACTCAGAGTCTGCTCTGATGGATCGCAGGGGAGTTGGTTCAAACCCTGGATATTCCAAAACTGATAATATACACGAAAAAATTACCCAATTCTGATTGGCTGAGAAAGGAATACAGTTCTTCCGTAACACAAGTGCAAATTACAAATAGCTTCTGATTGGCTGAAAACACAAAAGAAACCACCAAGAACCGATCAAAATTTAAGAAAATGACCATGGTTTTCCGCAAATGACGATTTGATTTTGTACGCAAAGCAACAATAGAAAAGTTATTAAAAAAATATTCGTAAAACCCGAACACAGTAAAAAGTACATCTTTCTGGCTACATTATTTTAATGTAGTGGTAAGGGAAAAATATTGTCAACAAAATTGAGGAAAATGAGCCAGAGAAACTAAAAAGCAAGCTACTTATAACAGACTACGCTAAAGTAAAAAAATAAAGAACAAAAACGGTAGCAATTAACCACACGCAAGTATGACAGCTACACTTTTTTATGATACAAGTTTTCCATGATAACAACAGGGATTTCAAGTCACGAGCATTGTTTGTTGGAGGAGAAAGGTGTCATGTGATTTCCTATACAAATAATTACTTATTCCTTGAATAAATTAAAATATTTATTGTAGCCGAAAGAACTCGAGGTGATCTCAAGGTATCTCAAAGTAATTCCAGTCTCCCTTCATCAAATAACCAACTCAAACTGAAAACTCACTGACTTTGCATGCCCAATCTTGTACCAAAAAAAGCAACTTTGGGACATTCCTGAGCATTGCGAATCCTTTACTTTGTGCCTTCAGCCAAGTAATAAGGTACATGATACTTGCATTTCCCCCAAATCTCAACCCTACTTCTGGTTATTGGCTTTGAACTTCTGATAATTTGAAAACCCTTGACAACTTGAACTGTTTTTGATTTCCCTTGAAGCTTCAAGTTATTGGCAGCTGACTGTATGATGGGTGCTAATAATTATTTATTTTTTATTTAATACTACCTGTCCTTTGCCAGTTTATGCTCAATTACAATTTCTCAATTTGTACGGGCCAAAAACCCAATGTAGCAAGCACTCTTGCATATTGAGGAACTTTTTCTCTCTACAATCTTTTATGTAGTAATCATGTACTGTTTTCTTAGAGGTTGTTGCCAAGTTCACAAAACCTAAAGCAAAAATTATTTTTTCAATAACACGGACATTATTTATCCTTAAGTTTTACATAGCTCCAACAATGAAAATATGTTAATTTTTTGTTCACATAGCAGGAGTACTAGAGTTTGGTGCCATCAGCACTATTTTTTTAAACTCAACTAGTGTCAGCAGCATTCTGTGAACATGTAGCTGTAAAACTAGTTTATTCTCCTACGTGAAGGGGACTCAGACTGTAGAGAATTAAATACCATTATAGATTGGTATTGTAAGAGAATACCTTAGTTAGCTGAAATGAAATTCAATCAGTCCTTCACTCCAAGTCTTGGTTAACGATGCAAATCAACTGAAATAAATGGCAAAAAGTAATTGTTACATGTATATAAATGTATGGGGTTGTATGGAAGTCTTACCCAAATGAACTCGTCAAGACACTGGGTAGAGGATCACTGATGTATTAAAATGACGGACGTCCGTCATGGAAGGTAACTTAAGGTTAGAGAAGAATGTGCTTATTAAAAAAGGTCAGCTAAAAACTTCGGTAGAATCCTCTAATGAAAAATTCTTATGCCTATGTCCTCAAACTTTTGACCGGACATATCAGTGTAACTAACAACTTCAGATGAGACAAAAAAAGCCACCTAAAACTTTCAAGACAACCAAAGTTCCCCTAAGACATCCAAACAAACAAATAGTTTTTTGGGCAGCTCCAAATTAACAAAGAAGGGTACTAAAGCATAGCGAAAACCATTTGATACACTTCTGACAGATTTAGAAACATTTGGTCATTGGGTGCCCCTGTCAAGAGCACTAAAAAGCTACAGAATTACCGGTAATGCACCTATCAATGTAAAGCCAGCAGGGGAGCGGGGGGGAGACAGGCCATGATTTATTGTCTTTGTTGGTCCCAGTGTAAACCATTAGAATTACCTTGTTCTCCCGCGGGGGATATTTGAATCTT